TACAGGAGAAAAGGAAAGCTGAACTCTCCTTTGATGTTTGCAAGTGTAAACTGCAGACCCGAGCTGAACACACTGTAAATAAGGATCATTAATCATCAGCCAAGCGGTACGCGGTTGCTGTTATTTATTATACCAACATAAATCATCAGGAGCTGCTATCATGTTAATTTGGATTTAGTATGGATTAGTATAGAAAAAAGAATATCCTTACCTATTTAAAAAATATATTCCCTTACTTGTAAACACAAACAGATGTGCTGGGTGTTTGTTCCTTAGTTTCCTCCTGCTAGGAAGCGAGTCGGGAAAATACTGTGTGAGCTTTGCATGTGAGGGTGCGCAATGGTTCAGGCCAAGTTGCACCTGAGCAAAATCTGTCTTGTGATTACACGCTAACTCGGCACCTAGGGAAAAAGCAAAACCGGGAGGTCTCCGACACATTTCGGAGGGGCAGCTCTCCGCGCTGCCTCCCAGCCCTTCCTCCAGCCCCTGTGCAGGGCATGGGGCTGGCGTTTCCCAGGTACTGCATTGCATCCATATATCGCTGTAGTAACCCCATGGTTTTCCTGTTTTTTTCATTTGCAGCTCAGCTCTGGCTTTTATATTTAAAAAGCATGAGGCATGGGTTTTGTGGGATGCTGGAGACCTGTGCTCCTGCCTTCGGGAGGAAGGCTTAGCAGGGAAGGAGCATTTTAATTTAAATTAAGGAGCATTACCCACGCATTTCATATTCACCAGAAATACCAGCTATACTCCTTGCTGCTATATAATTTTTTTTTCCCTGATTTTACTTTATTCAGGTTAAAAGGTGGGGCTGAGCTGCTCATGCACCAGAGCAAGGCTGGCAGAGGCACCTGTATGACCGTACCCTGTGTTTTCGGTGTGGAGCTCATGCCAGGGCTGAAGAGGTGGCCCCATCCCTCCCCACAGAGCATTTCTGAATTCGGTGGGGACAGAGCTTCGCCCCACAGGTATCCCCATCTTGGTGCTCGGATACAGCATCTGTCCCTGCCCTTGAGCACTTGGGCATAGCCGGGGTGGTCTACTAACCCCTGCAAAATGACTTCTTCAAAGTGAGGCAGGTTTGTTGTTAACAAGTCATGGCAAATTTCTACCCGAAACAAGCCCAGTGCTCACAATCCCAGTGATCTGTTTTATCCTGATGAAACCGGAGGTTCTGAGCCCTGACCGACAGCGTGGAGATCCCTGACTGACCTCGTGGAGCACAAGGCAACCAAAAGGTAAATTTAAAAGCAAGGACACTCAGCTGTACATCGTCAAAAGGAGACATATTGGGAAAAAAGGAATTAAATCCTGACAAAGGCACCTTGATGGAAAGGAAACGTTCTTGCTTTCTCCATTTAAAAAAAAGCCAAAACAACCCACAACACCCAAAAAAGCAATGTTTACAGTGGAGCATGCTCTGCCCTCACCATTTTCCCGTGGGATTGGATGGATGCAGAGACTCCAAATGGGTGCAGAGTCCTGTCATGGCTCATATCACAGCCCCATCACAGCTCTGCAGCTGTGATCCACTGCCCCTGTCGCCCCCTTGGCACAGCCAGGAAACCTTGCCGAAACCTTTAATGTCACCAACACTGCCTTAGCTGGGGGTTAGTTCCGATTAAGAAATGGGCCTTGATATTTGGGAAACAGAAATCAGAAAAATTAGGGTTTGGGTCTTTAAAATTTAACTAAAAGGGAAATAAAAAGGATTTTATGTTTTGGGGTGGCCCAAAGATTTCCTACAGGCTTGGTGCTGCAACGATACATTTAACAACAGGCTCGTAAGTCAGGGGTAAAGAGAACAAAAGCGATACTGCGCCCACACCTTGACTCTGCCGTGTCCAAACGCACAAGCAATTGCCTTTAATGGCCTCCGTCGCTTTTAACCTGTGTTTTGTGTGTGTCAGATGAACAGACATCGAACCAGGGAGAATTTCTCCAAGTGTTGAGCCAGAGCTGAGGCTCGCATTAATTAAAATTGGGTTAATTATAATAACTCTAGTACAATAGAGATAGTATAATAGGACTAATTAGAGTGGGGCTAATAATAAGAGGGTTCAAGCCACAGCAGCCACTGTACAAAACCTGCACCCAAGTTCTTCAAAGGTTTCCTTGGACTTGTATCCCACTCAACTCACTGGTAATCCAACGTCTGAAAGCTGCTGCAAAGCTTTGACTGTGTTTTCCTGAGCATCCAGGCTTGTGTCGCACCGACCATATGTCTGCCTCTGCCTGCTAGCAGATTGCACCAAATATTTTCCTTTTTTATCGTGGCTGAGCAAACAAACACCATCTGCAGGGCTCGTCGAGGGAAATCCTGGCCCCCTCTGCACCAACGGGAAGGCAGCCACGCGCATCCGTGGGGCCTGACGTTTCTGCCATCCATACCCTGAGACAAGAGCTTTTCTCTGCTCCTCATCTCTGCCCATCCGCCAAGTTGAGTTAGGACCTGGCCGTTTGTGAACAGATTTAAAATTCAGATTTTATTACAGAAATGCTGGGTCCCTTCAAAGGAGAATGCCTAGTGTTGACCCAGGCTTGTGGGACTGCCTTGGAGTGGTGGCAGGTGGAAGAGGGCAAGAAGGCTTTTTTTTTGTTGTTGGCTCTGTCCACACAGGTATTTCTTGGATGTATCCACACTGCCGGGGGCTTTGAGCATTTTCCAGCCACACTCGAATTCCTAGCCCAGGTCTGATGGTGATTTTTGGTCCTGCTTGACCTGCTTAGAGTCAGGGGTCTGGGTGGGCAGCTGAGAGGGGGTGCAAATTGTTCCCTGTTCAAACCTTTATTCCTTTGGAAGGTAAAACTCCCAGGGGGCACCGTTTGATATGGAGGGTCTGTGCCATCCATTCATGCATCCCAGCACTGGTGGGGAGCCCTGGGAGCAGGGGAGCATCAGCAGCCGCTGAAGCAAAGGTTTGCATGTGGTCCCCAGCTGCATGGCTGGATGCAGAGCTTCCTCCTGCTTTGCTTTTCTTTTCTCTGTTACTTGCCTTTCTGTCGGAAACCCCTTTTCTCCCTCTTCTGGAAAAAACAGAAGGGTAATCTCAATTTTGTAAAATCCCCTGCAGTTTTGACCCAGCGGGGAATTCACAGAAAGCTCTCACCGAGTGACAGGCCCGGCGGACGCAGGTGTAAATTACCTGTCACCTTGGCTGCTTTTCCGCCTCCACTTCTGCAGCACAGTGTCCAGAGCATGTGCTCTGACCAAATCTTTTGTACAAGTGCCCTTTGGATTTAGCAATTTGCACGGCGAAAGCAGAACCGATGAACCACAGGCTTTTCTGCTGCTGCCTTTGATTAAAAATGCCATGTCTAACACCAGCAGATGTTCCTGCTATCGAGACTCGACTAATAATTTGATGCCGTGTAATGCAATGCTGACTGTGCTGCTTAGTCTGAAAGCGGAATAGACTTTTTTTTATTATTATTTCCTTTTGCCGACCAAATCCCTCAATATTTGAAATCTTAAAACTTGTTAGTCTAATGGCCTTAACCAATTACTGTGCTGCATGATCTTAGCAGCCCCAAGTCGGCGCCGCAGCCCACGATGCCTCTGAGACAATGGTGAGCTCGCAGGGCTTTGGCCGTGCAGCAAAACTGGCCCCAGACAGCCGGCTCGAGGAGCAAACTAAGCCTGTTAAAGGCTTTGATTCAGACGTTTGGGGAAAGAGGGAATTCAAAGCATGAGGCTGCTCCTCCTCCCCTTTTTTTTTCTTTTTTTTTCTCTTTTCAGTCTTCTGCTGAAGCCGATCCATCCTGTTGCTTGCTGTGGGCGCTCGGCACGTCAAAGCTGAGCACCCTTCCCTGGCGGGGCACGGTGGTTTCAGGATATGCCCAGTACTCAGGTGGATGAGAGGAGATGCTCTGGCTCTGGCTCTTTTAGCCCCTGGGAAAACAACTGACTTGTGAGACTTGAGCGAATTGCCTCCCTCTGCACGCTCTTTGCCGTTACATGATGAATCATCTAATAATCGTATATTTATTGCAAAACAGCTGGGGAGCTTTGCTAATGAATAAAATATCAGGTACCGGTGTATTTACATAAAAGGGTCTCTACCAGATGGACAACACTCTGAAATGTAGCACGAGGTAGATGAGGATATTTTACCTTCCTTGTCAGCTGGGAAGCCAAGCCCCATCCTTCAGCATGGGTTTTGCTCTGAAGCCCTGCATTGTTTGAAAATCACATTATCAGTTTAGCACGGCGAAGATGATCATTGCCTCGGTGGGGTACGGGGCAGCTGATGTACGTACCGAACGCAACTGTCGCACTACATCACACCAGTGCTGAAACCGTTTTACTGGCTTTCTGTCATGCAACAAATTTATTTTAAAGTGTGTGGGCCTTATACTGCCTGGAATGGCTTTACTTGTACTTTAAATACTGCATAAACCAAATTTAGAGATATATTTCTTGCTTTACCCTGTCCTCTGCATCATTTTTTTTGCTTGTGACTGTCCAATTGGTTGCAATAATTCACTGCAGAGGAATATGTTTCTTAGATTTCCAAGAGTGCCACCTCCTTAACCTTTATAAAATTAGGGAGAATGAATCACTCGTGACTTTTACATCTTTCTCGAAAACAAGTATTTGTTAGATGCTGGCTGCCCAGGGCAGTACTTTGCCTCAATTTAACTTAGTTGCAAATGTTTGTAAATTCACACATAATATCTCAGCACAATGGAGACTATGCGCACACACGCAGATTTATTGAGAGGGACACTAAACATATTTCAGCTGGAGGAAAGGAAGACAAGGTACTTATCTGTTTTATTGTCCTATACAGTATATATTGGCATCTCATATTTTGTGAACATAAATGCCAGGTTGACTCAAGAGATCTATGGATCAAGTGTTGTTTGTAACCTGCGCTGAACACTTCAAATTGCGTTAAAGTTTCATCTCAGCAGCAAGGCCTTTTGCCATCTTTCGGTAACCCTGGCGCACTGTGAGACGCCGGGTGCTGCTTTTTAGAGCACAGGACGAGCGCACAATGGCCAAGTAAGAGGGAGTAGGACATTAAGGTTGCATCTGTCAACTGTTCGCGTTTAAGGGACAAATGACTGTTTTAGCTTATTTTGTGAGTTTATCCTGCTTTCGGTGAGGGAACAGGTCCCTGTCCCAGCTCCATCCCCTGCAGCCCGGGGAAGGGAGCGAGAGTGCCCTGTCCAGCTGTGTCCCTCACTGTCATCCCTCTCCTGCATCTAGATGTTTTGGCGCCTGCGCACAGGACGGGAAGAGACACCATGGGATGGGCCAGTCGCCGACCTCACTGGGCTTGGGGACAAGCTCCCCTTTGGGAAGGACAGGGCCCAGGGCACCTCTCCCTGCCCCTTTCTTTCCCCGAGGTAGGCAAGGAGGACGCTGTGCTCTGAAGCAGCTCACCGCAGTCAGCTCCTGCCAGAAACACGTCCGAGCCCGCCCGCCACCCAGGAGCACCCAACACCTATGCATGTCTCTTAACAAGCTGTGGTTTGCATTTGGTTTTGTTTTACTTCCATGCTCACCTCCAAGGCTGTTGTTTCTTTCCCCAGAGCTGCTTCCCTCCGTGGCAGAGGGCCTGCTGATCCCTACTGCTGGGGATGACAGGCCGTTAGCGAAGGGGACACCGCTCAGTGTTATTAATGCAGCGGGGGGGTTTCCTGAGCACCAGAAAACAACAGGCTATTACAGAGATACAACCGCACTTTTCACAGCTGGATCCAAGCTCACAGATGCAGCTACCGCGCTGTTGATGACAACAAACAGCCTTCCTCTCTGTGCCAGCGAAACCGACGTGTGTGGATGGGAACACCTACATCCCTCTCCCCTAGGGCTCAGGTCCCAATTCTGCAAGGACAGAGTCACCTGCAAAGGACAGGCTGTTGTTTAACCCTTCAGACCCTCCACACACCTCCACAGTTTCCTTTCTCACGGGTAAAGATCAAGAGTTATCGTGAAGACACAGAAAGCCAAGGCGGCGTTTGCTGGGGTCAAGCAGGTTGGGAGATACAATGACACTGATTTAATAAAGGCTGAATATGCCACCATTCAAATCAGTGTGACAGTGTTTCACCCTGTGACACATCAGCTTGCCCTGGACGACAGTAGCAAATTTTCTCGGATCAATGGAGCTGAGAGATTTCGCAATTCCCCATCCATTGTGGCATTGATCTCTTTGCACCTCTGGCTAATGTTAGTAGCAAAGATAAATATTTAACTTTCCATAAATAAAGAAAAAAAAAATCCCAATTTAAAACATCCCTGGTCTTTAGGAGCTACAGAGGGAACAAAACTACCGAAGTAGAGGAGTGTGAAACCTGAAAACTGAAGAACCTCATTCTTGGAAGACAAGGATAACTTATTAAGAAATGTTTTCAGCCCCTATTTAACACTCATCTGCGTAGAATACCTTCTCTCTAGGTGAGGTAAAAGCTGTGCAAATGCCCCTGTTGCCACCAGCGGTCAAATTAGTCCTTCTCATCAGGCTGCCATTGCTCAGCTGAGCGGTGGTACCTGACATCTTGCTGGTTTTACTTCACCTGGCGAGCGGGGATGAGGGGAAACCATCCACCCGCAGGAAGCAAACGGAGGGAGATGCGGGATGAGAAACGCCACGAAATTTCCGATGGGCTGCTAGGACCCCATACTGATGGCTGTTTCCTGTGACTGTCACCAACCAAATTTTGTGGCTCCATGACGCCGCATCCTTTTATGATGAAGTTCCCTCAAAGAGTAACTCGCTTGCTTTAGTCATGTTTGCTCAGAGATTTATGGCTTGATGCTTATTCACCGGCGGAGCTTCTCGATGCGAAATGTCAGTAAGCCTGTTATAAATTGCTCCTGGCATTGCTGCTCTATCTTTTATTTGGCCAGGAATATTTCTATCTGAAAGTGATAAATGCCTGCTATAACTGCTTTATGTGCTTCAGTAATTACACTGTACAGGGAAGGCAGGGGCTGCGTCTACGGAGGTACCACTTCAAAAACAGCAACTTGTAAAAAGTGGGAGATTGGGCTGAACCCTGCGGTGCTACTGGACGCACAGGCTGAGGAAAAAAACACCCTTGAAACTCAAAGTAACAGTGACTGGTGAAGTATGTCCGTCAGACTGAAGCTGGTGAACAGGTGGAAGAGAGGGAAGAAAATTAAATTTTTAAAGTCAGGGCGGAAAGGCATCGGCACGGCTCTGGTGCCCTGCCTGGGCTATGCGCTGGGTGTGAGGGGAGGAGGCCCTCAGCACTGCGACGGCGTGCCCCCCACCTGTTTCAGGCCTCATTTGGGTAGGAGATGGTTGTGCTGTGTTAGACGTGTTTGTTGTAGACAGACAGATACTGGAAAGACACATATAGACGGATCGGGTTCGGGTATCTGGTCGATTTGGATGCTATTGAGGTACGCCAGCCCTGAGTTTCAGGCTGGCTCGCAGCCAGCCCGCCATTTTCCTCAGCCCTCCCATCACGGGT